AAACCCTAAACCCTGAACCCGAAAGCGCGAAGCCCCTCGAGAGGACAATCTTCATTCTCGTATCGGCTTCGCCGTGAGCCAAGGAGACCACTTTCAACATCTTATCTGGGTTGTCTTTTGGGATCTTTTTTAATTTCCCTTACTATTTTGTAGAGAACCATAATAGTAAATAATTTTCAAAGGGCTTAAAGGACAACTTAGTTATTCCGGATTTAGGATTGTTTAGGGTGGCGAGCTTTGCCTATCGCCTCCCTCCGCTACCCAGTGCTTTCAGGTTCGTCTTTGGACGAAGTGTCCTGAGTTGCTTTGAGGGACCATTCGACTTTCGAAGACAGGCTTGGCAGAAGGAGAGACCTTCCCTCTAGTTCCCAGTGTCAAGGCTCTTGCTTCCCACTGCCTGCTGAAACCTCAGATTTGCCAGGAGTTGCTGTGGTTGCATGGCGCGGCAGCAAGACGCTGGTTGAGTTGGGCACGGACCCACGAGAGTGCATGGGCATGTTAGACGTTGAACTGTTAGGCCACAGCACAGGCGACGATGCACCACTATAGAGGTCATAAACATCGGTAATTAGTATGTTCTTCTTATAGTCATTAGAATCCCTAGAACTATACGTTCACACCATGACTTACCCCAAAACTCCTCGCCCCCATATCCATCCACACCACAGAGCACTCTTCGAATGATTAAGGCCCCCGAATAAAAACAAGGGCCGGAATCCGTAACTTGGCAGTCGGAAGCTCGAACACTGTACTGCAAGGGGTTGTCAAGGCTTTGAAAATTCGAGTGGGGCTCCTTTAAAGGCTCCTCCATGCGATACGGGGTATTTTGGGAGTTTATAAACCCTAAACCCTAAACCCTAAACCCTAAACCCTAAACCCTAAACCCTAAACCCCTAAACCCTAAACCCTAAACCCGAAGAGGGGGCTTGTTGGTTGGAACGGGGCTTTGGGGTTTATTGCACTAGAGCTATAGTCCTTCATACTAGTACCGACAATTAAGGCGCCAGTACCTGTAGTATTATAAGGGGCCTTAATAATTACCTACATTCTTTGGGGGGGTTCCTTTTCACAAATAAAAGTATCATATACCCCAAAACCCTATTCTAGTTATTACGGCCCCTACATTATTCCACTGGTTCACTTCCGCTGAAAAACAAACAGGAGCCGAAGCCCTGACCTTCTTCCCAGAAGATACCCTGCACCCTGACCGAATATAGGGGCCTCAATAATTAGAATAGGGTTTTGGGGTATATTATGCTAGAACAAATAAGAAGGACCCCCCCCCAAAAAACCCTATTCTAATCATTAAGGCCCGTACCTTACCCCAATAGCCCTAATCTTGTCATCAGGGTCCCCACATGGAACAGGGCTGCACTGTGCCCACACGGTTTTGCAAGACGGCCTGCGCCCTCTTCCCGTTTCCCTACCGAACCCTTTGATCCCGAAAGTAAACCCAACACTCCCATACCCACAACCACTAAAAACTGAGCCCCTTCTCCTAAACCCAAAGCTCTGTTTTGGCCTCAAAAGTCCTTGCCCACTACGACGAAGCCCGCATGGAACCAGTGTGAGACAGACGCTCCATAAGCGTAGTCGCCGAAGTAACACCCCTTGTACGAATCCCTGAATGGAAGCCTTCAACGGAATCCGACTTGAGCCCGATCTCTCTTGAAGCCCTAAGCCCCAAAGCCTAACTGAGTGGATTTAGGGTTTAGGGTTGCCTTGCTGTTGAAGTGTCAGGACGCCGGCTTTTCACCCAGTCTTTGCCACCTGTGGTTCGATCTCACAGCTGCCCGGCTCTGTTCTGTAAGGGTGAGGGTTTAGGGTTTCAGTAATACGAATGGTGCGGGTGCGTTCCTGGGCCATTGATTCGGCACATCTGAGGAACCCAAAGCTGATATAGGGGCCTTAATGAGTACCATTTCTGTTTTCGGGTTCCTTATTATAATCATAGTCTAATATATTTCAACCCCAAACCCTATTCTAATTATTGAGGCCCTGCATTACTTCCGAGATTCCGTCTTGTAACATGCTCAGTATGAGGACCCCCCCTGAATTGGGAACCCCTGTATTTTAGAAGGAGCTCATGTTCAGGATGTTGCGTCTCAGCCGAGGACCAGATCCAAGCACATGGTGCAATGATGGCGGTGATTGAGCATGACTTCCTTGCGCCTGGCCAGAGACTATGTGACTATATCATAACCATCGTACAATGATACAGTAGTGGGGTTTAGGGTTCCCTAAACCCTAAACCTAAACCCTAAACCTAGGGTATGTCTTACCAAAGGCACTAAGAAATGTCACCAACAGTGGAACGTAATGCGAATCAGTGACGCCGCCACAGCGAAGAAGTACCGAGGTTTCCGTCCGGTCTGTGTAGAGTAGGGTTTTAGGGTTTAGGGTTTAGGGTTTAGGGTTTAGGGTTTAGGGTTTAGGGTTTAGGGTTTAGGGTTTAGGGTTCAGGGTTTAGGGTTTAGGGTTTAGAGTTCAGGTTTCAGGGTGTCGGCCGGCTCAGCCGAGTGCCACAGGCCAAAACCCCAATCCGTCAGGAGATGCTGTTTCACAACACTCCAAGGCACTCACATCCAAAAGCCATATTTTGAGTTTATTTGCCCAAGTCTTGTTTGCTGAAAACCTTTGAAACTTCATCGCTTCGGAGCCTGAATTTCGCTCGCTGCTATTTACACTTGTGCTAGCCTTGACAAGGGAAGTCCGAACAGTACACGGAAGCCTTTGAGAAGATAGGGCACTCAATCATACAACCAACAAACCAGATTGCCTGGGGTTTCGCAGCAGCGGAAATGCTTGCTGGTGTTGGGGTTACTTGGGGATCAAAGCCAGAGCAGGCAGGCGGCAGGCCCACGCATCTATGTCACAGAAGTAGATGAATGGATGGATCCATGCATAGGTCCGGAAACAGATAAGATGTCGGTGCATACAAAGAGAGAAAGGGAAACCAAGAGGAGAAAGAGAGAGAGCGAGCGAGAAAGAGAGAGAGAGAGAGAAAGAGAGCGAGAACGAAAGAGAAAAAACAAAGAACGAGCGAACGAACGAACGAACGAACGAACGAACGAACGAACGAAAGAGAGGAACAAAGAACGAACGAACGAACGAACGAACGAAAGAGAGGAACAAAGAAAGAACGACAAAACGAAGGAAAGAATTCAAGAAGGAAAGAAGAACAGAAGGCAAGAAGGACAGAAGGAAAGAAGGAACGAAGGAACGAAGGAACGAGCGAAAGAAGCGAGAGAGAGAGAGAGAGCCCTAAACCCTAAACCCTAAACCCTAAACCCTAAACCCTGAGCGAGGGAGAGCGGACAGGTCTTTCGGAAGCGCTTGGCAGCGCGGCTGTCGGCGCTAGAAGTGGGGCGGCTGGTCTTCTCAGGCAGCTTCCGTTTTCTCTACAGTAATATAGGGGCCTTGATAATTAGAATTTATGATTTCAAGAGCGACGTAGATACTATTGCTATGATCTGTGGTAACGGTGATGGAGAGGAGTATTACCGTGAGGCGTGAAGTTTCAGGGTGGGTCTGCTTCAATCAGAGTGATGCAGGGGCCTGAATAATTATCTATTCTATTGTGGGGGTTCCTTGTTGTAATAAATATAGTATAGTGGGCCCCAAAACCCTATTCTAATTGATTATTAAGGCCTTACTATGCTTGCGAAGTTGAATTGAAAGGCGGGTTTTCGCGGCGCACACTCACTCCGATGCTTACTCAAGTTCTACACCTTTGCTTGAAGCACCACCCTAACATAGGGGATAAACAGTAGGATCAGCCGGATCCTGAGCCAAGTTGTCGTGAAGCACTGGGTGTCTTGCATGTTTTTGAGACGCGCGGAAATCTTATGAAACGCTTATGGCGCACTTTTGGATTTTAGACATTGTAAAACACCTTTCATAGAACCTTTATGGGAGATCTTAGAAACTATGTTCGACCCTATTCCAATTATTAAGGCTCCTATATTGTCTCACTTAAGGCAAAGTTGGAAGACACACTCCTGTTTCCTGACCAAGAACAGCTTCAATGTAGGCTTCTCAACCATGATGTTCCCAGACATGTACCGTGCATAGCATCGCGTCGTCTTTCCCTGTGTAGCTGTGGGCTCACCCAAGGAAGGGACCATGGTACGCCATGTTGCGCACTTTTTTTGTGTTTGTGCTCATCGAAGCGCTGGCTGCGAGAACGTCTTCAGCAAGCCCGACTATGGAAAGCTTCCGGCACTGCCACATCATGGAGAACAAAAACATAGTGGGTTCACGCCACTTGCTGTTGCGAGGGCATTGCCGTGGACCAACTGCTGTGCGCGTCGGCTCCACAGCGACCCAAAAGCTTGAGGACAAGATCCAACCTTCAGATTTCCTGCATCGTTCGGAAGGACTGGAAGATGAAGTCTTCGTCCCCAACCTTCTGCGAGCACTACGTCATGCGGCGAGTCGTCCTTTGCACTTGCAGAGTTTGGGTAGCACTCAACGTGAAGCCCAAGCAGTGCGGCTGCAACTACGGAGTGTCGATGTTTGGCACTTTCACTTCGCGCCATGACCCCAACTTGCATGTGCGATTGGACTTGTGGACCTGCGGGACCGTATTAGTGCGATGAGTCAGGGCTCTGCAGGCACTACCTCAACGCCATCCGTCGTCTGGGTGCAGCTGATCCACAAGGATGGGAAAGTCACAGCCAAGCTGAGGCCCAAGGAGGATGCGCTCGAGCCGGTGTTCCAGGTGCAGTCTGTTCAGGACGTGCAGCTCCAAGATGTGGATGACTTGAAGGAAGCCCCCAGGCAGAGGAACTCCGTCGATCTTCACGACATTGAGGCGAGGAAGATCGACGTTTACCTCTACTCATACTTTGAGTAG